TTTTGCAACCTGAGTACAAAGTCTAGACGACAAAAGAAATTTCCATTCTCCAATATAATCAATCAACACAACAAGATGGAGCATCATGAAGTATATATGATCAAAGTCAAGCAGAAACAATGCGGCGAAGTTTTAGAGACAGGAACATATTTGAGGAAGGAAAATTGATGATATTACCGCAATTGGTATTGATGAAGAATTTTGAAGGCGGGCGGAGACTTGGGATTTTTGCCCGTCACAATCAGGATTGTTGAAACTGCTCAAACACCACATATATAACGGAGAAACGATTGAAAAATGGCTGTACATAAGTATGACAGATTATTTTTTCCTTTCTTTGAGAATGATTCTAGATCTCTTGGTTTCTACTATCAATCACGTTTCAAGATTATGTCTATCACACTTTTTTCAATTCAATATCATTGGTGTTGTTTACGATGAATGTCTCAACCCACTCTTGTACAAGTGTACATTGGCGAAACATGCCACGAGGACCGAATCGACACTTTTTGGTGGATTTCAGCCCTACCAATATACTATTGCATACGTCAAAACTAAGCTTCAAAGAAGATGACTTTGATGTTTTACTATTTGGATTCTCTTTGGGTGCCTCAAATTCCATTACATTCTTCTTTACCAGAAATACACACCTTCTCTTTCCCAATCTCAATTCCAACCCCCAATCACATAAATATATTCGCGATGTCTGAAACGCTCACCAACCTACAAGGGTATATATGATCAGAGATTCAGTACGCGCTTATCCAGAAGTTATTTCTGTGCATATGCATTCGATTCGCTTCCACCTTTCCTAATCCGATCTATTTTGAGATTAGATGTGGCGAAAATGAGAAGAGGTGATTGGTGCTATGTAGTATCCTCCACGTCTTTTATTGGGGGCGTCTAGGTTCCAAAGCGCTCTTGGCAATCCAGCCCCAGCTTCTGGGATACTTTCAGATGAAATTTCCGGTTCGTCTGAAGGGACGGGTCGTGATACAACGGTGGGAGGGAGGGAGGAAGGGAAGTGATGACTTCCGACTAGGATTCTTAGCTTGGGTTGGCGATGGCAATGTTTGTTTGTACCTATGAATAGGTATCTTCTTCTAACTTCACTTTCTTTGTTTTCTCTGTTGGTGTCTTGAATGAATTGTATATCTTATCTTCATATCTTGTACATCTTACATCTTACATTCACATATACAAACTTCAGCGAAAGTCCCGTGCAGCACAGCCCATTCACACACATATCACAAACTGGGGAGCTTATCGCAAGGTACGAAAAGGCTGTGCCACCCACAGGGAAGCCCACCAAAACATATATTCAAAAAATGTTACATCTTTCGCATTCGTACAATTAGAGTTTGGCATTCTACCACGATCGTTTTGAAGCTTTTAGGCTTCCACCAAAAGTGTTGAAATATCTAATTACCGAGGGCGAGTGCTTCTAGACCCGCTTTATTATTCTTCCAGGTATATTCACTCTGTATATACGAAAGAAAACGTTGGTTCTAACAATTTCCTCGCAGCCTTTTCCCTCGAACTTAATATTCGATATATACATAGAACTTTGAATAATTAAAGAATTGGGTTATGGCAGAACGTGAATTCGAGGAGATCCCTCAATCCAATCAATCTACATCACCCTCCTCAAAATCGAACTCAACGCATCATATCACCTCAATTGGAAATCAGAGCCCTCCAAATACACGTACCCAACATCATAATAGAAATCAGTCTTCATTAACATCAAAACTTTCACCTACATCAGAAGCTCCTTTTCTATCTAATGAAAGTGATGAGATTGATATCAGTCATGTGCCCTTATCTGCACATATATTGACACCATCGGGTCCAATGGATACACCATCAAAACACAATCGAAGATCATTATTCTTACCAGAAACCTTCAAGGCAGGACTTGCATCTCCCACTCAGAAATCTTCCAAACTTTTCTCGAAACGTGCTAGTTCGTATAATCCATCAACCACAAAAACAGATACCAATGCCAGCAAAGACACCACGAAGGGAAAACTTGCCCCCAAACGATTTTCTCAAAGAAAATCCCTCCTCAATCATTCTCGAGATGCATCTATCCCCGAAGAAGAATTCGATCTCAATCTCCTCAGTGCCGCTATGCCCATGGCCTACCAAGGAAAAACCATCGACAAAACCGCCAGCGCAGAAACCGAATATGAAGATGCACCCATGGTATCTCCCATGGCCATCCCCTTCGATCTCTCCATGTTCCACGAGCCCATCCACAACTCCTCCTTAACCCCTGCGATGCGCGAGCAAATCAATCGACAAGAAGCAGCGGGAATACTTACCGGTGGACTCGGCGCTGGCTTTACTCCAGATAGTACGATTACCAGCCACGATTTAATGGCCGAGAATTCTCAATCCAGCAACACAGCTTCTCGTCTCTCCCGTCGTCTAACTCTACGAAATGGTCTCACTCGAGCTCCCACACTCAAAGATCTCGCTCAAAACGAGGCCAACAGACGCGGCGAGGTAATCGAAGTCATCGTGCAAGAACATATCGATGCACCCGTAGATATAAGTTCCTTCGCCGGCCACACCGGAATGCACGAATCAAATTTCGATTTCAAGAGTATGGATTCTCTCCCCTCGACCATCAACAAAAAAGCCACATTCAAAAGTTCCAACGTGGAATTGTTCTACCCCCAAGCAAACTGGAAACCCTTTTCCATGCGCGCCCCTTATCTCACCGCACTCATCGTTATCTCCGTGGTCCTCGGCGCCGCAGAAGAATACCTCTATCAAAAATCGCGCAAAAGCCCTCTCTATTCCTTCACATCCGCATCTGCGATGAAGACATGGGATTATTTTTGTTTCAAATATCTGCCTACTCTCGTCGCCGTTACTTTTGGCGTTTTATGGCAAATCACCGATTTTGAAGTCAAGCGTCTAGAAGCTTATTATCAACTTTCCAGAGAAGGCGGTGCGTTGGCTGCGGAATCAATTAATGTGGATTATATCACCTTTTTTAACGTCTTGCGTCCTTTTCGCGCGTTGCAATTTAAACATTATGCTGTGGCCGTTTCGTCCATCGCGACTTTATTAGCTGTGTCTCTAGTTCCCACGCTACAATCTGCAAGCGTGATATTAATCCCGAGTCGAGAAATCAGAAGAGCAGATCCAACGGTACTAAAAGGAATCGTGATTAGTGGTCCCTGGTCCCGCTTACTCAGTCTCTCGCTCTGGCTCTGTGCTATCTTCGGATGTATCCTACTCTGGCAGCTGGAGCGTCGCCCCTCGGGTCTCGTGGCCGATGTTAAAGGAGTTGCTGGAATCGCCGCCATGGCAAATCGCTCGCATATCCTGATGGATTTCAAAGACATGGACACTGCAACTCCAGATATGATTCATCAGAAACTAAAAGCCCATCACTACACCCTACGCAATTCTTCTCTCGCCCCATCAGACCAAATCCTCACCCAAGCAGATAAAGATAAATACGATGCCCATTCCCACGCCTCTCAGAATCCGCATCCCCTATTCCTGCGTCTCATCGCCGGCATCCCATTCATAATCTCCATGTTTCTCTTTACCCTCCTCATCCCCATCATCCTCTTCACCCCCGCCAACATCATCACCGACAAAGCCCCCTGGCTCCTCACCCTCGGCGCCGTCTCCATCAAACTCTGCTGGGGCAGTCTCGAAACCGCCATCCGCATGATCGAACCCTTCTACATCCTCTCTCTGCGCCACGCCTCCCCCACCGCCCTCACTCTCGACTACACCGCCATGGCCTTCGGCTGGCTCCCCATCCGCGCTTTCCTCAACGGCCACTACCTCGTTGCCGTCGTAGGCCTCGGCTCCGTCCTCGCGGAAATCCTTACTGTCTGCGTCACCAGTTTCAGCACCGTCACCGGAAACGATTTCACATCTCGCTCTTCCTCCTCCTCCCTAAATTCCCCCTCCAGCGGCGTCGACGCCGGCGAAGAAACCTTCGCGTCCTTCTGGGCCTCTTTCTTCCTCGCCCTCTCTATCCTCGTCTTCCTAATCTGCATTTCCATCCTTTCCTACACGCGTCGACGCCATCCCTTTCTTCCCCGCCAGCCCAGTTCCATCGCGTCGATTCTGGCGTTTATCTATCAATCGAATATGTTGTATGATTTTGTGGGCACCGAGAAACTCAATAACCGCGAAATGGAAGAGCGATTGGTGGGGATAGGGAAGAAATATGGATTGGGATGGTTTAAGGGGAGGGATGGCGAAATGCATTGTGGGGTTGATGAGGAGGAGTTGAGTGCGAGGTATTTGCATGGGCAGAATAAGAAGGCGGAGAGTGAGCCGTGGAGGGGGAATTGGCAGGATTATTAGGGGGGAAGGTGGATGAAATGTATTTAATATGCGAGTACAGATTGAATGGTAAGATAGTGAATAAATCATACTAACATTCGATGAATAAAGGTGTAATATGAAAACACTAAATTGAGATATATTATATATAGTCTTATATTCTAATATACGATTTAATAATAATAATAATAATAATAATTATACTTTCAAACTTATATATAACTATGTATTTAGTATAAATAAATAAACAATTATAAATCTATTATATTCAATTCTATAGGTAGAAAACATTTTAAATATCTGGATATATCATAGTAATTAGTTTATAGAATAACACCTTATAGTTAAAAAAACTGATTTTTATTAAAATAGAATATAGTCTTATAAACCATTCAATATTTATTATATACAATAATTGCATATCACAAGAGACAATAGTGATTGAACAAAATAACAATATTTCTGGATATTCACATTTAATACCACATTGTCAATAACGGCGATAAATCTACTCTGCTATGTGTGACGAGTCACATTATTCTAGTATATAGACTCTCTTCTTTAAGAGCTTTCACTCTTAAATTGTCCCTTTTTGGGGTTGTGGCCTAATGGTAAAGAAGAGAGCTTTAGGTTCGTCACACTATGCAGCATTCTATGGCAAGATAATTGGTAATTCACAACCGAAACCCCCAATTTTGAGCTCTCTTTGCCAGTTGAAATCGAAACTCATGGTACAGGTGGCCAACCATATTATCCATGTATTCAGAACCAATCGCCCTGCTCCAGTGCAGAGTGGTATTCGCAAAGGAAGCTACTTTGTTCTCGTAATCCTCCAACGTGATTTCACCGGAAATGTATTTCGAAAGAAGTAAGCAGTGCAATGCACATTGATTCGTGCTCTGCGCTGCGTGTGGTCGAAAAAGCGCATACGCATCTCCAACCAAGAATAGCTTACCCTCGAAACATGATGCTTTCGGCGAGATGCAATCATAAATACCTGTGACAAACGGCGTTTCGATCTTGTTTACTAACTCTTTGATGGGGGAAGGGAAGTTTGCACTGCCGTAGGCTTGCTTTTGTGCCCAGATACTTGGACGGACTTTACCAAATGGCACAGTTCTCTGATGTTGTTTTCCATCAATATCAGTCATTATAGAAAGATACTCAGGAGAGTCTTTGTGACAAGTATCGTACCAGACAAGATTCACGTGTCTTTCTCCCGGTTCGATACTGCCATCATCTCCTGGGATCAAATATCTATTCTTATTTTAGCAGAGCCTCCACATCATAGACATAATAACAGATGCATACACTACAATGTAATACCGATCAGCATAGTAACGGATGCATCTGTCAAAGAGAAAGTTCAGGGTTTCCTTAGAAACAGCATTTTCTGGCACTATTCCTCGCCAGGTAAGAAATCCGGCGTATGGGGTCTTCAGATCCGGAAATAGAATCTTTCTGGTGGCTGAGCCCGCGCCATCTGCAGCAATAACAAGATCGGGATGAAGAATCTCGTTAGTCCCAGTTTGAACATCCTCGTAGGTGACGCTGAGCCCAGCCTCCTTATTGTAAGAGACGTTGGTGACTCGTTTCCCCACGTCATAAACAACCACCTGTCCCTCTTCTAAAAGGCTAGGAGGAGGGTTTGGAACGTAATCGCTCTTGAACTCATCGAAATTTGCCCTCAAACGGTAATAAAATGTTTTCCAATTAGTGAGTTTGAACGGGACAGAACGGCTTTCTATCACATTGAGCCTAGCGTCGACGACCTCTAGTTTAGACGCGGTAACAAAGTGTGGGCGATCTTTGATCTTGTCGTATTTCTTCAAAAGTTCCTGGCCATGGATGCCTGTACTCATCCCAGCTGCCTGACTTTCTCGAATGGAGGTTGGGTACTGTTCAAGAATGTGGACATTATGAGAAAGTTGCTTGAGCATCGCGCCATGCATTAAACCAGCTAGTGAGCCTCCGATCTAGGTGAAATCAAAGTCAATTCGACGCGGCATTTTTCGACGGGTGGTAGGGATTACTCACAATAACCACATTTAGTCGGTCTTCGGCCATGGTTGCAATGATATTCGTCAAGGTGCGGCGACGATTCTTGGAAGCTTGCAGGACCGGGAATATTGAAAAATAGTATTCAAGAATAAAAACCTAGATTCTCCAGCATCAAATAGTTAAGAAGAATGTGTATGATATTCGATTATTTGTCCGTTATTTAACAAAGTGTGTGTCTACTTGACCGAGGCCACTTTGTAATCGGTGTCCCAATCTGAATGTATAGCCGAGTTACTAAGACCGATAACAATCATTTTGCTAATACACTAAAAATAGAACTTTGCCTAAAGTAAAAGTATATTTAATATTTTATAGTATGATTTTAATAAAAAATTATTAATCTACACCTTTTAAATTCATTAAATATTCGAATTTTTGTGAAAAAAACAATATTTTAAGCTGTAAGGTTATACTCTTAATTAAACAGATTCTAACTTTAATAGTTTTTATAAAATTATATCACGGAAATCACCATCTTATACAATACTACATGATTAAACCTAGCACTCCTCCAAAATGCCTACTTATATAATCACAAAACACTCTTTTATTATCAATATTAATAAACCCTATTAACCTAATTAGACAACTCCATTATCCAATTCAAATATATAAGATAAATATAATTCTTATGATTATACCTCAAGTCAATCTAGTTTATTATTACTATTACTATATATTTCCTACTCAAAGTAACCAAGTGACATAGCTATCCTTCGTGATAAATTAATTATTGAAATTAAAACAATTAAGGAAATCAAAAACGAAAGATTTAAAAAAAAATCTTATCTTATTAAAACATTTTATATAATAATCCAGTTTTCTCCCTTTTATCAATCTCTTATACTTATAGATATCTTCCTAATATAGTTATTTGTTAAGGTGCGGGTAAAGACTTATATTGTACTATAAGGGTAGAAGGATTATGAAAGAAAGGGACCCTACTTATAAGAAGTAAGGTGCGCTAGTAGTGGGAGCCTTAGGCACGAAGGCAACTAACGAACAGGTAGTTGGCGCCGTGATATTATTCTTTTGAATAAAGCTTTTCTATATTCTTTATTTAAATTAATACTAATTAGATTAATCTAATTCCTTTCGAAGTAAAAGAACTAATAAAGAATCAATGTTTTTTATTATTCTCTTCTTAGCTATTCTAAACTAAACATTCTTAGATGATCTTATCTTATTGATTTTATTTAATTAATCTATATAAATTAGATTAAATGATTAAAAAGGATAAATATTATATTATTAAAATTGTCAGAAGTAGATAGCAAGTTACGCATAATAAGTAATATATTGAATATATATATTAGATCTATATATCCGGGAACCCTAAAGAAGGAGTTTTATAGTAGTATATATATACTATATACATATTACATATATAAATTCCAATATCCCTTTTATAATAGGAATCTACTATCTAAATTACATAAACTCTATATATATATATATATTTGTAAAGAATCTCATTAATTTCTATAACAATATCAATACTTCAATATTACCTATGATTTCTATATCTCTAATAGAATTCGATAACCCTACGATCTAATATCGTATTGTAGTACAAAAATACTCTTTTGTCTGAATCCTATTTTCCCTATCTATATCAAATAAAATCCAATCTATTATAAAGAGATATAGTAATACGAATTCGATCTGTTTTCATAAAATCCTTTTTATATATACACTAACAAATTACTTCAGATTCGTTATCTTCAAATCATAGGGTCACCTTTTTAATATAATAAATAACCCAAATCTAATCTCATACAAACAAACCTCCAGATTATCTATTACCCCATATAGTTTTCCTCCAAATAGTCAATTTAATCAATTTGGTTAATTGATTTAATCAATTTACAGTAAATCGATTAATTCAATCAATTCATACGATTTTCGATAAATTTGATGAGTTTAGTGATTATAGTGAATCTCATAATATTGATAGAATTAAAGAGTCAGGTAAACTCAGTGGTTTTGATCAATTTTGGGTAAATTGGTTAATTTAATCAATTTGATCAATTGATTTAATCAATTTAATCAATTAAGGGTTAAATTAATCAAATCAACCAAAATATAGAATATAATCAAATTCAGGACTAATGTTTATTAATACTTTTTGATATATTTGCTTTCAGCATTCCAGATTTAATTCTAAACCTTTTTTATGAGTTATAAAGCTAGAGTATATAAACTGTTTTGTAAGGATATCAACTATCTACTTAATTTCTGGAATTTATATAATATATAGCCTTTTTGTATTAACTATATCTTTCTAAATATAATACTATCGAATATCAATATACTTTATCTTGTTATAAAACTTATTCTCTTACATTTAATCAACTCTACTTATATTATTATAATATAACATTAGAATAAAAAGCTTTTCCTTAAAGTATTTATTCAAATCTTTAACTAGCTTTTTTATTCAAGCTAATTCTTTTGTATTCTTATTTACTATTATAATCTCAACTTTTATTATATAGAGAAATATCGATTTCTGTTTTGTTGAAGATTATATTATAATATCACTATATCTAATAAGAGCTACTTCTTGAATAGATTTCCTATTAGCTGAAGATTCCTATATCAAGTTTATATAAACTTGATATTTGTATGAAAATATATTAAATCAATTTAAATAAATTATACTGATTGAATATATACCAATAAAATATTAAAGTAAGTATTTTGTAAATATTAAATAACTTTCCTTTAGTATATATATAATACAAGCAAACTGATTTATAGTATATACTATATCGAATCATATACAATTGAAAAAATAAATAGTACTACTAACAATTTGGAGATAAAGAGTTTTATTGTCTTTATATAATAACTCTTCTTTTTTTACATCTCAAATTATTGTATCTAAAGATAGTGTGACGATTCGGCCTTAAGCCTTGATTAGTCACTCATTTACCCCACCAGGCAGGGCAAATCACTTCGCCTAATCTTGGTCCTATCTTGGTCCTATCCTGGCCCTATCCGATAGGACCTATAAAAGCCCTCTTCAGGCTCACTCTTTGTACAGTAGTTTGTTATTCTCTAGTTACGATAATTGATTCATCCTATCACTATGACTTGACTCCGTTGCCGTCACATTATAACAAACTCTTAACACCCCTGAGAAGGACAGAATATCCCCTGAGAAGGCCACAATATCTAGCTAGTTATACTCCCCTGGGGTCACTGAACTAACGACCTACTTAAACAATATTATTCAACCGTTACCAGCCAACGATGCCTCCCCGTCGGATACCAACACGCCAACAACATGACGAAAGCCATGATCCAGAACAACAGCTTCAGCAAGAACAGGAAGCTGGCACGGGAAATGCGCCGTACGAAGGAAACGAAGAGATGGAACCCAATCAACCCGACCCTCCTCTTTCAGACTTGTCGAGACAGGACCTCTTGAATCTCCTCAGTGCCAACACAACAGTGATGGCCAGGCTTCAAGAGCTACTTTCGGAACAGCTATTGGAACAAGGAACGCGCAGCAGAAGCCGCCATCGCTCAAGAGCAGTTGGACGGGCCACGGTGTCGAACCCATTGGAACCCCATCTACAGCACAGGAATGCCTCCGAAAATCCTGCAGGAATTTTTCCTTCAGTCGAGATACGTGACGGCTCCGTAGCCTCCCTTGCTTCCAGAACGAGGTTGAGTGCTAGGGTGAAAGACCCGGAACCCCTGAATGATGGGATTAACCCTACATTCGAAGCATGGAGATTGCTTGTTGAAGGAAAACTCCTTGACAATGCCGATCATTACCCGGACGAAGGCGCCAAAGTAAGAGCTATCTTCCGGTGGACTACAGGGGAAGCTCAGAGACACCTTAAGCCCAAAATGATGCGCAAAGACTTCAAAACGTCTACAGAACCTTTAGACTACCTCGAAGGCATATATTTAGTCTCTAACCGGTTGGAATTAGCCATTGAGGAGTTTCGAGCTTTGAGAATGGGCAGCAACACATTCCATCAATTCTATACCCAATTCCTAGAGTTAGCTGCGGAATCGGATCAACCAGAGGAAAACCTCCGTAGAGAACTAGCTGCGAAGATATCCCTATCATTGAAGAATGCAACCATTGCTACTATGGATAGCTACCCCGATTTTCAAAAATACGTTTCTCACCTAACCAATGTAGATGCGAGAATGCGCGCCAGCTACCTAAAAAGCTCGACAATGTTAAAGCAGATATCCCGACACTCAGAAAGATTACCTTCAAATTCTTCACGATCTGGTGGGGCGCCAAGCCGAGAAAATTCCGCTCTTATCGGGCCCACTAGAGAGAGTTCTGCAATTCCCGGAGTTTTACCCAATCGGAAATCTCATCCCCCTGAAACCCCAGGAAAGTGCTTCACGTGCGGCGCTCCTAATTGGAGTAAAGATCACAAGTGCCCAATGAAGATTAATGAGGTTGACGAAGTGGAAGAAAATTTCCCCACTATGAACGACCAATCATATTCAGAACCAATCTCTGATTCTGACTCATGCGAATCGGGAAAAGACTAGTCCTTGGAAAAGTCTCCACCCAAGGATTTCAATATGCCAGAAATATTGATCTTAGGAGCCTCATGGGGGGGAGACAGCTTTGCTGTCTCTTGCCAATTGCGAACTAATGGCTTCCAAATCCGCTGTTACGCACTAACGGATACCGGCGCTAGTGCCTACCTTCTCATCAATGCTCGGTTTGCTCGACAAATCTCCAAACGCACGAGCACCCCAATACAAGCTCTGGATCACCACATAGACGTCCAGGGCTATGATGGACGGCCAGGGGCCTCTGTCACTCATGCCATCCATCTCACCTTACGCCTGGATGGTAGAACCTTCCTTAGAGCACCCTTCTTACTGATCAACATGAAAAGAGACCTAATCCTAGGAAATGGGTGGTTGAAATCCCACGATATCGTTCCACGACCTTATAACCACACACTAATATGGCCCATCAGTCTTCCTGCAGTGCCTAATTTCTCGAGCGGCCT